AATAAAAACACAATCAAATGCTGTAGTAAGGGGAAGAGTAAGACAACTTACCAATTGATCTATTTGCTTTTACCTATTTTAAAGCCATATCATATCAGCCCCTTAAACATTCTTTTTTAATAATATTTCACAATTTTGTTAAAAATTTGGGATTGATTATTTTTTCATGAAAGGAATGACTCTGAATTTTAATGCAGAGTAGGTCTTTTTGTAACAGGTATGTGGTGGCACCGTTTGGATGCTCATCTTTGCGATCTACATGCATCCTTTATGATTTTGTGTACCCTTTGCATTCGTTTGACTTCACTTCTTAAAAGAGAGCTTCGTCTTCGGCCAATGACATGCGCATATTTAATTAGCACGCATTTAGCGTATGTTTCTTCAAGCTCGCTGATTACGTCAGCGCTTAGGTCAGAAGTGATTTATTTCCAAAACTGTCACCGGTATCCGTCGTGGGGGCGGGGTTACTAAACTGTAATATGGTTTATACTAGGCAGAGTGTAGTTTAACTAGACTCTGCGCGCAGGGTAGATTTTGTGGGAAATTACCTCACTTCTTGACCATGCAATAAGCCTATTCATATTTTGCATAGTCAATATTGCAGTTTGAATACCCCCCCCCCTCCCCATTCATAGCTCATGGCAGTCAGGCTCAATCATATATCAATAGATATACATGTATGTTGTGAGCATACTGCCGAAATTGCTAACAGTAATGTTTATTACTTTTTGAGAATGTCTAACTTAGATTTCTACGAAAAATTCCCGCCATTTTTAAAAGGGAGGCAGTCTTGATGAAAAGTCCATAAAAAGTATGACCATTATACACCTTTCCATCAAATATAGAGAGAATTGGCTTCGTAGTATTCGAGTTAGCTTCCCGTTCGTTGGGACAATAATGCATTGCTCTAAAAAAGAATCATAATCACCAATACTCTTCATAGAGACTGACATTGATATCAAATGAATGGTCCCTAAAAAGTTTACAAGGTTTTACTAGATTTACGAGTTTTACTAGATTTACAGTCTACCCACTATACTCGGTCGAATTGGCAAACAGAACATGTCATCGTTACATGCTGCTAAATAGGCAGATTAACCCGTTATTTAGGCCAGCGACTGGATATAAAGTATGAAAGATGGTAGCTAACGGGAAGCACGGCGGGTACAATTATATTTAAATGAGTTTTCCCTAAGATTGCAATCAACCCGATAGCCGGTAGCCGTTATTTGCATTGGCGAATACAAGCTAAGAGTTTACTCAACTTTTCACAGAAATCAACAAAAAACTCAGTTTGACTTTTTAGATTTTTATTGAACATGATTTATTTCATTGACATCTAATAATATAAATATCCCTCCACCAAATATTCAATATCAAAATATAATCAAAAAATAATTAAACAATACTTCATCACATTATTATATGTATGTATTTCTATAAAGTACTCCCTGCCTAAAACAAGCTTTATGTATATGTGTTTATAAGCCTACTATCTATAAAAAAAATACAGTACAGTATTCAGGGGGTAGAAACGCGTCCAGTATTTTCGACTAGTACAAACCGAGATACTGGATGCAGACCTCCATTTTTTGATCCAGAGAGAGGTAGGTGCGATTTTACTCGGTACCAAGTAAAATTACACCTACCTCTCTCTGGATCAAAAATGGAGATCTGCGTCCTGTATTTCCAGTTGTACCAGACAAAAATACTGGACGCGTTTCTATCCCCTGGTATTAGCAAATATGTACATAAATATCAAACATACCATAAAATTAATGGTATGTAACTTTAAAAATTATTTGAACAATTTGAAGGATGAACACTTTCGTAAGTTATGAACAATATAATTAAAGCTGGTATTAACTAATATGATACTCTTTTTTAAAATAAATTTTCACAAGAGCATAGCCAGTATCCATGACTTGCAAAATATGTGTATTGTATATTTCAAAGCAAGCTGAAGATATGTGATATGTAGACAACAATATCAGACTTACAGGCTAATTATACAGAATAAAAATCTTTTATTTCTGCAATACTATGAATATGGGCGTTGGTGAATGAAAAATTCAAATTTTGACAGATGGAGTGACACACAGATGGACGAGTGGGCAATGCTATGGGCTCACATCAGCTGAAAACATTTATAAATATTTTTTCTGTCATTTTAAAATGTCTCAAAAACAATTTTACCTCATTGCTAGCTACTCTCATGATTCAAAAACCTTGCTGTGATAGCTTATGAGTTGGTGAATATTTAATGTAAGACATTTAAGAACTTCTATTAATGCAACATGTTAAAGACATACATTGAAATGACAAAATGTCACATCCTGGTTGCAATTTCAAATGCAACCTTGTCACCACCTTGTAAGTTATTGCAAATAGTTAAACAAGGCGTTAACATGCAAAATGTCACCACCTGCCATCTGTTACAGATGCTGACTGCCAAATAGCGCTGTGACCCCCTCCACAGCCAATACCAGGGAAGGCACCCCCACAAACAATACATCAAATTAAAGCTAATTTAAATTTGAATCAAATGAACCAAAAATGACATTGATACAAACTGCTACATTGTTCCTAGTATGTCTCCCATTCCATATGTCCTTCATATGGCCCTAATACTAGTGCAGATATTATAAATAAGAAATGGGTTGCTAACAATCTTCATAGGTCAGAATATTTTGTCAATGGAGACAAAAACCATCCTTCTTCAAAAGACTTCTTTTATGCTTAAATTCTATGGAAAGAAATGAAATACCCTTGGACCAAGGGTGACAAAAACTGAAATATTCCAATTTGAATTTTCTGAGGCACAAATCAGGAAAACAATACCATAATTGTGATCCGCAATCTACTCAGAATTGCGTTTCATTTGAGAATAATGAAGCTATACTTCAGAGAGATCTCAAAATTAACTCAAATTCCCCATTTGTTTAACATGGGATCTGCCATTTTTGTTAAATTTCATGAAATTCATCAATTTTGACATAAAATTTTGACCCATTTAATGTAATGGAGATATAACATTGAAACGTTGCGGACTTAATAGTGAATAGAATCAAGATACAGATTTATTTTCTTTATTGGGATTTCTTTTGTTTCCCGCTTAGAAAACAGTCGTTTAACAAATATGGGGGTTTACATGTAAACCTATGAGATCTTAACTTTTTTTGAGAAGTATAGTTATACAAAGGAATTTTTGGTTGATTTTAAAAATTCAAAAAATTAAAACAAAATCCCCCCAAAATAGATAAAAATCAAGATAAACCTTTTATTTCATTAACAAGATACTTTTTTAAAATCAACCAAAATTTCCTTTGTACAATTACCGACACAATATTGAGAGACCTAAACATGTTGTGTTTATGTCGTTTTGTTCCAATGAGGTTCGGAAAGATATTTCATTTCACTCTGGAAACATGATACCAAGAACAAAACAAGTGTTTGATGTGTTTTCTAAAACAATATAGATAAAAGTATATATACATTTTTCAAATTATATTGTTACCATTCAAAAGATGACCATTAAATTTTCAATTTTTCAATTCAATTTATTTATTTCATAATTCTTATGATAATATACACTATAAAAACAAGCCGCTTGACACACTAGTGGGTATATGTTGCGGTTTAACAGAAATTGACGAGTTGTTAAATTTTTAGATTTTTTTTATGACTGGTTTAAGAGAAACGTGTGTTCAAAAAGTTCACCATTTGTTCACCACTCTTTTGGAGACAATCTAACGGCGGTTTTCTTGAAATGGCGATGACAAGATTTTCCGAAAAACTTTCAAAATGGCCACCCGAAAGTGAATGAGCTCTAGAATCAGCTCTAGATCCTCTATCATGTGTGTGAATTAAGAGACAATCCGACAAGCAGTTTTCCTGAAATGGTGATGACAAGATTTCCGAAAAACCTTCAAAATAGCCACCAGAAAACAAGAGGGCCACCCAAAAGTTAATCAGCTCAAGAACTTGATATCCTCTATCATGTGTGCGAATTTGGAAAAAAATTGATGAGCGGTTTTCCTGAAATGGCGATGACAAGATTTTCCGAAAAACCTTCAAAATGGCTGCCAGAAAACAAGATGGCAACCCAAAAGTTAATCAGCTTTAGAACTTGATATCCTCTATCATGTGTGCGAATTTGGAAAAAAATCCGATGAGCGGTTTTCCTGAAATGGCGATGACAAGATTTTCCGACAAACATTCAAAATGATTTTTTTGTCTTGAGAATTGGTCGTTTTATTCTAGTTTTTGATATTGCTATGGTAATATATGACATAGCACGTACTGATTTACTTTATCAGGTAATATTTTGAATGAAGGACCCACGGTCCAATGCTCACACAGTTTGGAACCTTCAGAGGAACATATATCCTGACTTTCAAACAAAAATATTGATTTGGATTTGTATTCTTGAACTTTGAGAATCTTAGATAGCAAAGTTGTGTGACCTAGTTTGATGACCTTTGAGCTTGAAAATTTTACTTCTTCAGAGCTCAGTAAGGTCTTTTGTGATTAAGTTGACCAAAATTTACATCCAAAATTCAACTTGAAAAATCAACTTTTTGACCTTTCGAAGGTCAAGTAAAGGTCAAATCCTAAAACTAATGTCAGATCTGAACTCCTGGCAACTTGTAGATGATTTTCAAAAAAAATGGTCAAATTGAAGCAAGTTGAAAAATAACTTATTTTTACTGTTTTTTGACGTCAAATATCTCAAAAACGGTAAAAATTTGATGCTGACATATATTGAGCAAAATGTAGGGAATGCTTAAATCTAGTAATCATAAAGATGTAATTCATTGCATGAAATGATCAAGTATAAGGCAATCTTTGAGAAACTTCGTCAATCACAAAACCTGCCATTGACTTTATACATGAGAAAGTTTCCTGAAAATGACTGAGTCCTACTTTTTGTCAAATTTTATTGAGTAAACACCAAAAATTGTGATTCCAAGAGCTTTGAAATCTTCAGAGGACATAAGTTGCACATATAGCAACTACTACAAGTTATTTGAAAATTTGACTTTTTGACGTCAAAATCCACAATTTCTTGGAAACCGGGCAAACTTGGGAAATGGCGATGATAGGTCAAATAGGCATTATGGATATGTATAAAATGAAGTGGATATGACTTAATCCGAATAGCAGTTTTAATTTGTGCGGCCAATGTTGACGGACGGACGGACAGACGGACCAACGGACAGATGGACGCCTGGTCGATCCCATAGGGTCACTTTGTGAGCCAAAAACCACTAAGACAATTTAACTGTCTTCACTTTACAATATTCTAGATTATGGACATGAAAAGAATATGAAGCGATTTTTGGTGGCTGTTAATTAGACTCCAATCATAGGGCTTTAATGGCCAGATGGCGCAATGTTTTGTTCTTTTTTAATCACAACTTTATCATACACCTCACGCAACTTTTTGCGAAAAAATTGCAACTTCCTCCGGTCTCAGTATTATACACATTAAAATGATCCAAATGTAAATGTTTTCAAAGCACCACTGCTATCACAAGCTATCACTGCGTGTCAAATATTTGTTGTTAATTCTCTGAAGTACTGTTGAAATCAGTATGTTTCAAAAAGATCTCACAATGTATTAACCTCAATCATTGTCTTCTTGTGTGATGTGTTCCTTCACCAATGCAATAATCACAATCAAAATTCTTGTGTTTCCTTCTTGATGAAATACCATGTGACATGAAGTCAACACTTTAAAAACTTTTATAGTAAATTAAAAAACATGTCCTTACATTATTACTTAAATCATGTGAAATTATCCATGAAAAAACTGGACTTAAACAATGTGACTTCAACAATATAACTTATACAAAAGTTATCTGAACCTCAGGATTACTTTGAGTGAACTCACTTGTTGTTTTGGGTTTCTGGGGAATATCAGGTTTCTGTGGGGTTGGAGCTTTTCTTAATGGTGGGGACATTAGAGCATTCTGAGGTAAAGTAGTCTCAGTGTAGGTGAACCGTTGTCTCATCTCTGGACTCGACTCGGATGATATCACAAGATGGTGGGTGGTAGGGGATGGGGTGGATGTTGGTGACCTCTGTTGGTCCGTTTCAGAATTAAAATCAAGAGCTTGGATATCTGACATTCCAGATTCACTTCCAGATTCATCTTCAGACTGTAATATGATTGGCTGTTGCACCATATTGTATACACTCCCTGGTATTGTTTGATTGGCTGGGGAGCCCTTGGGCAGGGGATAAGGGGACTCATGAGGCGGGTATCTCCTGGAATAAGGAGAGCGGTCAACACTTGCCATAAGATGCCTAGGGGTAGCTGATACAACAGGAGGTGGGGTGAAGTTAGGGGTGGGGATTTCCCGGGTAATGGCAGGGTCATTAAAAGCATCAGGTGGGGGAGGGAGTGCCTGACTAGTGAAGGAATCATTTGGAGAAGCAAGAATAGTTGCTTCCATATCATTGTTCTCAATAACAGTCATATTCAAGGAATTATCCCTAGAGTTATCATCAGAGCTTTTCTGAATATCAGAATCTGATCTGTTCTTCAGAGTAGATGTTCTCTCTGTTTGGGGCAGTTCATTCCAACTAATTTGAGGTGGGTCACTCCACCTAGGAGCGTTGACAGGTTGCACTCCATTAGATGAAGATGGTTCAGAGTTAGCGAAACTCAATTGTTCATTATCAAATGGTCCTTGAAAACTACTAAAGCTAGCTCTATCATTGTTACTACCATTGAAGATGTAACTACCATCAAACAGGTTCTCTTTATTTTCTAGGCTACTCAAACTGCTGTTGTAAGAAGACCCAAGATTTGCACGATGACCATCCATAACTCGAGAATCATTGCAATCTGGTGTTCCAGGCGGAAACATATACGAGTTTGCAAAATATAGCTCAGCTTCAGTATGGGATGGAACCACTCCATCTGGTCCAAAACTAACATCAGCAAATTTCAGATTATCATCAAATTCACTATCATTAGAGTCACTCTCTTTTGGTAAATTTACATCTGTAGCACGCTTTAGAAGAGTGTCTGATTTTGAATTCATATTGGGAATTTTATTCGTGTATCCCACAACATAATCTGATTTGGGACGTTTTTTGGGCTTCAGAAAATCTGGAAGTTCAAGGTTTTTCCCAAGTAGACCACGTTGATCATCAAATCTCTTGCTTTGGGCTTCTGACAGTAAATCAAAGACTTTATCAGCTGAAAAGGATTAATGACACAAGGTTAGTACAATAGTGAAATAGGTGCAGGGTATGACATAAGCACTGGCCCAGAGGCTTAGAGTCAGCTACCTCCTATCTGGCTCTGGTCTTGAAAAAATGGCAACTGACACACAATTCAATTTATCCATGAAGCCTGAATCTTTATTAGACACTCCTGGCACCCTGGGCATGTGGAAGTGTAATACATTATAAAATAATAATTTGAGCAAAATTGAAAATGGATGATATTAAGGTGAAGGCTAAGTAAACCAAAAGTAAAAAAAAATGGCAGCCATATTTTTTTGATGAAGACACATGGTTTTAAAATCTGTTTTCCTTGAATATTAATGTACATCTTGACTAAAGAGACTGGGGTTTATTTTTGAAAACTTTAAGGAGAAGAGGTGTTTCGGTGTCACATTTGTATTACTCCAAAATTTCCACAAATCATCTTACCTTACCAAGGAAAATCAAAGGAGCTTAAAAATGTGTACTTCTTGCATTTTTAGAGTAAAATAAAGCTCAAACCATTGTGAATTCTAAATATTCCATGTCCATGATTTTGCTTACAGGGACTATTTTTTAGTCCAGAGTAATCCTCATTCATGTATCCATTGTTTATCATTTATAAAGCCTCAATCATGTACCTATCATGATAATTATACTGTAATAGATAAAATATACTAGTGATAATCCATGCCACTTGGTGGTCACAAAACAATGCAAGAAGAGCACATTTTCATGCTCCTTCATTCTTGCAAATGTGTGCCTGTTGCAAGGCTACTCCTTGAAACTTTAAAAATAAGCCTCACTTCACGGTCTTCATGCTAGCTTTGGGGACCCATGCACCTCCAATTCATATTTATGAAAAATGTGTTTAAATGTGATGTTTTCTTTTACATGACTCTTTAGTTTGGAAATGCATTCACATACAAGGAAAACAGATACAAAATCTTGTGACTTTATCAAAAAAATATGGCTGCCATTTTTTGTACTTTTGATTTGCTTAACTGTTACCTTACACCCCCTGGTATGAGTGTGGACAATTTTTCGAAGCTCTGATGAAATGTGTAGACAAAGCCCAGCAAAACAGTATCGTATTGATACCTCGCTATTTAAAACAATATTCTTTTTATATTATATTCCTAATGCACTAAGCAAGTAATTTCGCTATAACCACAACCAAATGAGAGTAAACTATTAGTAAGAACAAAAAAATTGCGCACTAACCCATTAATTGTTGATATCTTGTAAGTTAAAGTTACAAAACCATGTAAGTTTTTTGAAAATTCAAATCATTTTCACATATTTTTTAATTAGATATTCATAAGATGTGTAAAGCTTATCATCATACATCACTAACATTTGAAATTATTAAGTTATATCCCTTCAAACATTTTTTAGTCCAACTAATATAATTTTTTAACGCATTTATTCGTGTGGACAATGTAGGGATGCAATATTACATTGGTCTTGTTAATACTAATCTAGTATGCAAGAACGTATGAATAGCAATGATTTTAAACATTTTCAACCCATGTTTGCTGTCCACTGGGCTATCAATTGAATTGTTAAATTGTTAAAGATGTAATAAAATGGCAATCATAATATGTTCTTAACTTGTATTTAGCAAAACTCACAACTAGATTGTAATATTTTTACTACAAAGCTAGACAATTTCCCCACAAAACTATTTCAAAGAGGAACCGTTCATCTGAAATGTTGTTATTTTTGTTTAGTTTTGACGGGCCATAAATCCAAGTAATTCTTGAGCCAAATCTGAATATTGTTGTCGAAAACTACTTGAAAAGTTAAATTGACCAAGGATACATGTCCCTATGTAGTATTCAACCGTTGAATATATTTATGATAATCAACCTACCGCTAATCTTATCTCATCATTTTCCATGAAAGAACACTCATTGCATGGTTCTAAGGACATTGTTTAAGCCACATCGGCACTTGTGCATGATTACCTCCTTTGTATTTTGGGTGACAAATATCAGATGTTTTTGACATGACATCTGTTGTATATTTGATTGATTTAAGGGACTGTTCCATTGTGTTAGCACAACCAATAATTGTTGTCAATAGGTGTCACTAGTATCAGCCTCGTTTTGAAATATAGATAGAATACAGAATATGAAAGTTGGGTTCATTTATTACTTTTGGATATTAATAGACATTTAATTTTAAAGATAATAATTTTGGGTTATATTCCCTCTATAAACTAACATAATACACAGGCATGTACATTTTGGAGATTTCAATGGATAAAGTTAACACAGATATAAATCAATTTTATTGTATTTTAATACAGCATGTCTAAAAATTTATATAGAAAAGTAAAAGGAATTTTAAAAGTATGCGAAACATTATCTGTGCGTCCTCATCCCTGAATATGAACATATTGTATCCTAATTGTGTATACCACCCCTCGTTGTAAGAACCTTTCGTAGAATTACTGCTGCTGAGATGTATGATTTATATATGGATGCACTCGCACATGTTTACATCACAACATTGTCCATACGTGAAAAATATTGACAAATCACTCATATATTCCAACAGTTACATATATTTGGGAATAAAAGCGATGGGTTATTACAGGTACCATCATTGGACGTTCCTAGGAGCTCTTTTCTTGCCTTAAACACTAGGAAAGAAGGAGAATTCCCAAAAATACCGAAAATTATCTCAAATCTTTTGTAAAGTCGCATTTAACTTCTATTACAATTTCATAATAATTACAATATAAGTTTACCATGTTTAGGGTTTCATTGAAGCTATAGGTGTTCATTGACACACCATTCAAACATTTGACCAAGTATCGGCATTACAAAGTGTTCAAATATGAAATATAAACATTCCTTCCGTCCAAGACTTCCATTTTGCTGGGCTTTGTCCACACATTTCATCAGAGCTTCGAAAAATTGTCCACACTCATACCAGGGGGTGCCTTAGGTAGAATGGATAACCTGGCACTCTTACTTTTACCTTTTACATGTGAGCAATATACAAACTTACACAAAATCACAAACAGATCATAAAAGAAAGTTAACAAGTTCTATGAATCAACTCTGCTGCTCATTTCAATATTGGCTCAAACCCTGATATAGCAATGGAAAAAATAGTACCATGGGTACTGCGCTCACATGGGATGGTTTCAATATTTAAAATATTTTTTACAGTAGGAGCTTAGAATGATCAAAGTTTTTTGAACATTTTGAAAGGTTGATAATAATTTTGTAGAAGTACTTGGCTAGCCGAAATTTAAAACATAGAAATTAGTTTGGATCAATAAATACTATTTTTCATGATGAAGTTGGAACAGAGGAATTTCACAAGCACACTAAAGGTAGCTTTATACTTGTACATGATTTTTCTGCAATAAAAGTGGCAGGCATTTTGAAATTTGCAACATATTTTGCCTAAACTTGTAAACAAAGTATTAATAACCTTTAAATTAAAGGCAGAATCTGATCTATAGGGGGTGACAAAATTACAAGCAACATGTATAATTGACTTACCAATCTATTCCTTACAATATCAAATACAATATCTCCCAAAAGATTCACAATATGTTATAAATTGGTGAAGTTATTAATGATTCAAAGTGCAAAAATGAGTGAAGACTGTTTAAATTCTCCCAAATAATAAGAATGGTAACCTATGTCTATGTCAATAATTTGCAAAAGGCTAATAAGGCAATATTATATATAATTTAACAGTGATAGAATTTGAATATAATATAATTTAAAACCTTAACATTTAAAAATATATCTATGGTTCACAACTCATTTTAAAATTGAAAGGAACCTTCCTGGTTGGCCCCTGTACCCCCTAGGAAGTCCCTTTATGTTGAAATACCCTGGGGCGACTGTCAGGCTACCGCGTTGACATCGCCCCTCTTTACCAGTAGTGCAGGCTTGTTGCTGTGCACTCAGGGGACCTTTTAAATTAAAACATAGATCTATATTAAAAACACACATCTATTTAATTGCAGTTATTGACATAGGCATAGTATGATGATTTAAAACTACTTAGACTGTCACAGTCTAAGATGTCACCAGGTAGAGTGTTCCATTTAGCTATTGCCCTAGGGAAATAGCTAAATTTGTATGCATCTGTTCTAGTTGATGGTTGTATGAACTTAGAAGGATGATACAACCTAGTGTTGGTATTGATCTGTTGGCGGAAGTATGGAGGCACGTCGATGGCTGCTAGGTTATGCTTTCCTTTGTAGAAAAGGAAATATCTAGCAGCCTCTCGACGCTCCTTCAGTGGCTCCATTCTTATAGAAAAATAATACATTATTGTAAAAATCTTTAGTTTTCCTGGAATAAAGTATGCACTTTTAGTGATTTTTAGAAAATAGACATGACAAGGAATGACATGAGACAAAAATATTCTAAAATTGAAACAATTTTTTGTTAAGCCTGCTCGCTATATCTGATACCTGTACAATTTCCAAATTGATGATGAAATAATTGTGAAGTTATGACAAAAAGTAGAAAACCTGATTTTTCTACAGTAAAATAGGCAGCCATTTTGAATCTTTGCGACATATTTTGCTGAAGCTTGTATACATTATTGATAACTTAAAAATTAGGGTACATTTACAATTTTAAGTGAATTGATGGAATACTTGTGAAGTTATTATGAATGGCAGCCACTTTGAAAATAGGCAATAGGCTTTTGAACCTGGACTCACAGGAGGGACTTCTGTATTAAAGACGAACCAAAACAAGAACAACGGCAATGCCAAAGCGTAGCGAATCCCATCAAACAGAAATGGCTGGCATTTTTACAAACAAAATATATAGCAAATATCATAAAACAACACACATAAGAAAGGCCACTTTCAAAATGGTTGCTCACTAGCCAAGTTGTCATTAGAAGTAATATGCTTTTAAGTAGCCACCTATAAATATTTTTTTTTAAATCGCATACTAGTATATACTTGTAAATGGTGGTCATTTTTTAAAATGGCCACCTTCTACCCAAAATGTCATGAGACAGTATGCAATGCTTCATATATCAAATATGAACAAAATAGCTCTCTTACTTTTTGAGTTAAAAAATTAAAAAACGTAAAATAAAACTACCTCCCCAAAGTTTTATTAGACAATGTGCCATGCTTAAAGTATTCACATATCAAATATGAACAAAATTGCTCCACTTCTTTTTGAGTAATAGTAAAAAACTTAAAAATGGTGGCCACTTTTCAAAATGGCCACCTACTACCCAATGTGTCATTAGACAGTGTGCCATGCATATGGTATTCACATATAAAATATGAACAAAATCGCTCTATTACTTTTTGAGTTACAGTAAAAAATGTTAAATAACACACATAAAAATGGTGGCCATTTTTCAAAATGCCCTCCTACGACCCAAAATGGCATTAGACATTGTGCAATGCTTAAAGTATTCACATACACAATATGAACAAAATTGCTCCACTACTTTTTGAGTTTGAGCTACAGCAAAAATCGTTAAATGATGTGCAAAGGCAGCCATTTTGATCCCATCAAATGGTTATCCTGAAAATGAGTAGACAAGACTTTACTGACACAATTTGAGGACGGAAAGTCAAAAATGGCCGCCTTAAAATTTACCCAGAATCCTCAAAAATTAGCTAGTTCTAGATTTTTATACTAAGAACCACCCCTGAACATTTGAAATTGATCCGTCAAACAGTTAAACAAGACTTTACAGGCAAGATTTTAGGATGGAAAATCCAAAATGGCTGCCTTGACATTTACCCAGAATGTCAAAAGACTAATCAGTTCTAGATTTTCATACTAAGAATCATCCCTGAAAAGTTGAAATTGATCTACCAAACGGTTCACCTGAAAACGCGTAGACAAGACTTTACAGACAAGATTTTAGGACAGAAAATCCAAAATGGCTGCCTTGACATTTACCCAGAATGCCAAAAAACTAATCAGATCTAGGTTTTCATACTAAGAATCATCCCTGAAAATTTGAAATTGATCTAACAAACGGTTCACCTGGAAATGCGTAGACAAGACTTTACAGACAAGATTTTAGGACGGAAAATCCAAAATGGCTGCCTTGACATTTACCCAGAACGACAAAAAAAATAATCAGATCTAGATTTTCATACTAAGAATCATCCCTGAAAATTTGAAATTGATCTACCAAACGGTTCACCTGGAAATGCGTAGACAAGACTTTACAGACAAGATTTTAGGACGGAAAATCCAAAATGGCTGCCTTGACATTTACCCAGAACGCCAAAAAACTAATCAGATCTAGATTTTCATACTAAGAATCATCCCTGAAAATTTGAAATTGATCCACCAAACGGTTCACCTGAAAACGTGTAGACAAGACTTTACAGACAAGATTTTAGGACGGAAAAAACCAAAATGGCCGACAATAAAAAAGTGATTATGAGTTTTTGCTGATTTCCTTTTACAAAATTATCACATATAACTACTGTTAACAATAACATAGGCTTTTTCAACAAAGTACACCTGAAATTATTTATAAAGCTACTAAATAGTTCAAGTATGAAAACTCAAAAACACCATTCAATATGATACAAAGTATTATCACGCGCTAACTTTTCTTCAGACATTCAAAATGGCTGACATGACTAGGCTTACAGGTACAAAACCTAATCAGATGTAGAATGAAGTGAGCTGAACAAGATGTTAAAGTTTTAAAAGCAACTGTGAAGCCGTTTTTCTTAAAGTTTGCAGACAAGGATTTTAGCATTTGACCTCAAAATGGCCGACAGGAAGTAGCTATCGAGTTAATTTTTTTTCATCCACATCTGTATGCACTCACAACTTATTCCTGAAAATTTGAAGGTGATACCTGTAGCGGTTTTGGAGAAAAATGCCGGACGGACAGACAGACAACCAGAAAGACAGACGGACGGACGGACGCGCCTAGGACGACAATATGGCCCCACACTATGTGGTGGGGACATAAAAACAAATGGTCCAAAAGTGGATTTCGCGAGAGAGATTGACAAATCAATGTTAACTAATATGGCTGAAAATAAAAAACAGATAAAATTTTTTGCCGATTTTCTGTAACAAAATTATGGCATACAACTTCTCTTTATAGTGACATTGGTTTTTACAATGCAGGACACCTGAAACTAGACAACAGTAACGCCAAAGCGTAGCAAATCCCATCGAACAGCCATGGCTGGCATATTTACAAACAAAGTATATAGCAAAAATGGCAGCCATTTTTCAAAATGGCCACCTTCTTCCAAAAGTGTCATTAGACAGTGTGCCAAGCTTATAGTATTCACATACCAAATATGAACAAAATCGCTCCACTACTTTTCGAGTTATAGTAAAATACGTTAAAATGGCAGTAATTTTTCAAAATGGCCGCCTTCTACCAAAAGTGTCATTAGACAGTGTGCCATGCTTATACTATTCACATACCAATATGAACAACATCGCTCCACTACTTTTTGAGTTATAATTTTCAAAATGGCCACCTTCTACCAAAAGTGTCATTAGACAGTGTGCCATGCTCATAGTATTCACATAACAAATATGAACAAAATCGCTCCACTACTTTTCGAGTTATAGTAAAATACATTTTCAAAATGGTCACCTTCTACCAAAAGTGTCATTAGACAGTGTGCCATGTTTATAGTATTCAAATACCAAATATAAACAAAATTGCTCCACTATTTCCGAGTTATAGTAAAATAAGTTAAAATGGCGGCCATTTTCAAAATGGTCGCCTTCTACCAAAAGTGTCTTTAGAAAGTGTGCAATGCTTATAGTATTCACATGCCAAATATGAACAAAATCGCTCCACTACTTTTCGAGTACTTTAATGATCAAAGGCCACCATTTTTAAAGATGGCTGCCATGTGCTTCTTTAATATTTACATTTCTAGCTTTATTTATGTCCTATATAATTATTTTACATATAAAACGTTTTGTTATTACAGTTTTACATATTGCACCTAAATTACTGTAAAATTGGCACTAAAATGGCCGCCATTTTGAAGTGAGTGGCCATTTTGAAAATCGGCTTTCAAAAAGAACTTCTACCTCCATAGGGTATATGTGTACAAAATATGAACAACATCGGGCCAATGGTATTTGAGTTATTGCCCCAGACGGACAGACGGACGGAGGCATTCTCTATATCCCTCTGAACTTCGTTTGATGGGATAATTATTTATAAAGCTAGCAAATGGTCCAAAAGAGAATTTTGTGAGACAAAAATGGTGGCCATTTTGAAAAAAGTCGAGCTTTTGAACCAGGAGTCATATGGGAGTTTTCTGTATTGATGTTGACCATAACTTAAAACGGGAATCCTACTGAGACAGGTTTTAAAGCAAATGGTCTAAAAGTGAAAGGATGAGTCTGGGAATGAGTCTGGATATTGACTTAGAGAATATTGAAAATTGTAATGTCTGAAAAACCAACTTAATCACACATATTATTAAACTTCAATATCTTATCCATCTTCTGAATGTTCAAAAGTGTCAAATTATATCTCAATTAATGAAGAATATTGGCATTAAAGAGAATGCATATCACTATGGCACAATTGGAAAAAAGTTCAAGTGCAAATACTAAATGAACATTTTCTCCAAAAAGTTTGAAAAATATCCTCCAAAACATGGCTTACTTTCTTTGTATAGACATTGAATGGCATTTCTTGATACATGAATTGGTGTTTATCTGGGTAATCAAGGGAATATAGTCACTCAAAGTTACTGAGCATCCATTTTTGACACTTCAATTGTGTTGGTATAATCACACATATTTCAGTCAAATTCATGCTGAGCACAACATTTTGGTTGTGCTCAGCACATGACAATCTAGAAAGAAAGGTACCTGTATAATTTTAAACAAATTAATGTGATACTTATCGAGTTATGACCAAAGACAAGCTGAAAACCTGATTTTTCCGCAGTATAAGTGGCGGCCATTTTCAATCTTTGCGACTTGTTTTGCCGAAACTTGTAGGCCTTATTGATAACCTATAAATTAAGGTACCTGTACAATTTCAAGCAAATTGGTGGAAAAACTTGAGGAGTTATAACCAAAAAGAGCTGAAAACATGATTTATACACCATAAAAATGGCCGCCATTTTGAAACAAGGCGAGCTTTCGAGACACCACTTATGAACAATTGATGACCTTATGTTGACACATTTTAAAAGTAAATTTGTTTCAATTGTCGTGGATTTTGGATTAGCTACCAATGTGTTGACAGACAGATGGACAGAGAGACAAGTGGGTGATAACAATAGCTCACCCATGTGAGCTAATAATAATAATACTATGACTCCAACAGATCTGTCTAACCTTCAGGATCCTTCTTAATGATAGATTTTGCATTGGGTGGTAGAGCAGCTTTTAGGTTTTGTTGTGATGAAAATGTCACACGGTTTTTGTTGTTAAGTTTTGCCTGTTCTTTGTCTTTGTCACCCCAAGAATTGCGGCGCAACCGGCTAAAAAATCCAAGTGATGTATCAAGAGCACTCTGAAAAGAGAAAACATTATTGATGCATATTAGAATACAATACAATAAAAACAGAATATGCTGGTAGTCCATCTAAAAATGACCCTATTTGAACATATATGATTACAACGTTTCTGCATGTGAAATTACGTCTTTACTTTTCTGTACTTATATAATACATAAATTAAGCACAATTATTTATAAAAAATGCACTAAATGTATGTTAGAATACACTTCTAGTAGGTATAGGAATGTACTAATTATAGATGGAATAATACATTATATGTACATGTAAGACTACACATTTGTAGATGTAAAGTATTACTTCATGTTCGAATAACTATTTATAGATGTAAGAGTCACCATTTGTACATTTAAGAATATATAATTTGTAGCTGTAAAAATACATATATGTACACTATTTGTGCCTCAATCAATAATAAATCAATCAATCCACTATTATTATCACGAAGATCAGAATATTGAGACAAAGATGTCATGTGCCTTAAAAGTCAAAGCTATCATACACCCTATGCAGACAGAGCCTGTGGGAAATATTGGGTGCGGAGCAAATGAGCGGAGGGTGCGGAGCTAACGGTCATTTTTGAATTTAAATTTGGGATATTTCTGAAACTAAGCCGTTTTGGGACTTCAAATATACCAATATATGTGTATTTGACACCAAATACCAATAAAATTATGAAAATAGTAGTGCAATTCATTTAATAGCGACGCAGTATGCCTTAAACATTTCCCAGACCTATATATTTTGAGACTATCCTTTTAATACTGCGTCCCCAGCATTCATAAAAAATGGTGTTCAAGATACACTACCCATGCAAATTATTTTGGCATCTTGGAAGCCAGGCAGTATCTGTGTGATTTTATAAAAATTCGGAAATGTTCTTCAGATATGAGCCCCCTCTAAATATTGGGTGCGGAGCTACGTTTATGGAGCTGCTCCGCACCCAATATTTAGAGGGGGCTCATATCTGAAAAACATTCCGAATTTTTATAAAATCACACAGATACTGCCTGGCTTCCAAGATGCAAAAATAATTTGTATAGATAGTGTACCTTGAACACCATTTTTTATGAATGCTGGGGACTCAGTATTAAAAGGATAATTTCAAAATATATAGGTCTGGGAAAGGTTTAAGGCACACTGCGTCGCTATAGAATGAATTGCGCTACTATTTTCACAATTGTATTGATATTTGGTGTCAAATACACATATCTTGGTATATTTGAAGTCCCAAAACGGCTTAGTTTCAGAAATATCCCAAATTTAAATTCAAAAATGACCGTTAGCTCCGCACCCTCCGCTCATTTGCTCCGCACCCAATATTTCCCACAGGCTCTGTCTGCATAGGGTGTCATAGAGCCAGGCAAAAAGCTGTAAAAGAATCTAGCCAAACCTGATACCCAGTATTTGAGTGATCAAAAACTACACTTTTGACAAATGATATTCATATTAAGTGCATGAGCTAGATCCTATGCCCACAAGGCATCAGCACATAAAATTTGAGCAAAATATGACAACTGATACTTAATGAATTGGGCGGCCTTATCGAAAATTCCTTCTTCAAAAGAGATCCTATGCTCATGAGACATCAGCCGATAAAATTTGAACCAAATATTACAATTTTTCTGACAAATGGCTGCTGCTTTGGAAATTCCTTCTTGAGCAGAGATTTAATGAATAAACAAATGAACATTGCTTTGAGCATTTTCTGAATATCCCTACTAAAAGTTTGTTTGGTTGGCTAGGTGGAATTAAATCAGGATGAACCATTACCTTCCTACTAACGTCAAGTACATGGAAATCATCCACATTACTGGTTGTGCTAATATCACCAACCCCTTCAAGTTTTTCTATGGCTTGGCGGAAACTGCGACTCCTTGGAACTGGAGGCTTCCCTAAGTCTCCCTTCCCTGGTGTTTGGTACACTCCCCATTCTGTTAAGTAAGAAATATGAGAGGTTGTGTAATGTAATCTTACACCAATGAAGCTTATTCTCCACAGGCAAGACTAGAATGAAGATGAGAAAAGCCAATTAAGTATCCAATTATAAGCATCATTCTTTATGAGACATTTTCTGAGAATTTGATATTATTTTTTAATAACAGGTACTATTACAATTATTTCATATTGTCATGAGATTATGACTGTTACAAAAGATAGGGGAAATGTTTCATTTTGCATTACTAACTACATTTTTGTAAATGTTTTATATGTATAATGCTTAGTTTATGTCAATAAAAGAAATATATCTAATTAATATTAATATGACTGTATATTTAAAAATCTGAAATGATGAATTGAAATAAACATACCTTTTTTACGCTTAGACCATCCACACTTAGCTATGGGATTAGATAGAAAGAAATCATGTTAGAGTAAAATATTAGGCTGCAATCCTTGCAATGCAATGGCATTCCTCATTCTGGCCTTAAAATACCATTCTGACACTCACATGTAGGATTACTTTTTTCAAAGGGTGATGGAAGGATTGAGAATATGGCAGTCTTCTCAAAAGACCCATGTAAATAAAAAGAAGGGCATCTTTTACATATTTTGGGGGAAATTTTAAAAGGGAGACCATTTTTCACATATTTGTTGACCATACATTCATGTTATTTGCTATGTTAGTCAAATATCTAATGTCTAACTGTGTGTCTGCACTGCCAATAAAGATGGTTCACAAATGACATGGTAATGTACTGTTCGTACTTGTGACAGACCTGTGGTTCTTAGGGGAAAAATTGGTTTTAAATTGCTGTTTATCTTTTTATTAAGAGACTGCCAGAGTGATTTTAAGCATCCAGAGTAATGTTAACAATCTGCACTAGCATCCATGTCAAAGTAAAATTCAATATTTCCTGATCCATGGAAGTAATTCACACACAACTTAGATACAACTTTATAATAACCATAAGTTCACCTACACATTTAATTTACACTTCAGTTATAACTAGGAAACAGGAACTCGTAACTCCACGGAGAAGCAAATCCCACCAAACAAAACATATTTTGTAAAATAGTACCATGGGCACTGGGCTCACATGGTGTTGCTCAAAAGTGAATGATGGCTAAAATGACAGAAAATAAAAAAAAAAACGGATATATTTTTTATAACAAAATTATTTCAAGCCACTTGCCACTATTTTGAACTGACTGAGAGACACATGGACAAATCAATGTTAAGTAAAATGCATGGCTGAAAATAAAAAACGGATATAATTTTTTGCCAATTATAACAAAAAAATTATTTCATACAACTACTCTTTACAGTGACATGGCTTTTTGCAATGCAGGACACCTGAAATTATTTGTAAAGCTAGGAAATGGGCCAAAATTGAATTTTGCGAGATAAAAATGGCGACCATTTTGAAAATAGGCAAGCTTTTGAACCAGCAGTCATAGGGGAGTTTGTTGTATTGATGTTGAACAAAAATGCATGGCTGAAAATAAAAAAAAAAGGGATATAATTTTTTGCCAATTATAACAAAATTATTTCATACAACTACTCTTTTAACAGTGACATGGCTTTTTGCAATGCAGGACACCTGAAATTATGTGTAAAGCTAGGAAATGGGCCAAAATTAAATTTCGCGAGACAAAAATGGCGACCACTTTGAAAATAGGCAAGCTTTTGAACCAGGAGTCATAGGGGAGTTTTTTGTATTGATGTTGAACAAAAATAACTTAAAACTGGAATCCTATCTACAGAGGTTTTAAGGCAAATGGTCCAAAAGTGGATTTCGCGAGACAGATAGACAAATCAATGTTAACTAAAATGGCTGAAAATAAAAGAACAGATATAATTTTTGCTGATTCTTTGTAACAAAATTATGTCATACAACTACTCTTTACAGTGACAAGGGTTTTTACAATGCAGGACAGCTGAAATAATTTGTAAAGCTAGAAAATGGGCCAAAAGTGAATTACGCGAGACAAGAATGGCGACCATTTTGAAAATAGGCGAGCTTTTGAACCAAGAGTCATAGGGGAGTTTTTGTATTGATGTTGAACAAAATTAACTTAAAACCGGAATCTTATCAACAGAGGTTTAAAGGCAAATGGTCCAAAAGTGGATTTCGCAAGACAGATGGACAAATCAAATTTAACTAAAATGGCTGGAAATAAAAAATTGGATATAATTTTTTGCTGATTTTTTGTAACAAAATTATTTCATACAACTACTCTTTACTTTGACATAGATGGTTACAATGTAGGACACCTGAAAATTTCTTTTCAAGCAGAGTTCCCTTGTCTCATAGGAATCAGTATGTAAAATTTGAACCAAATCCGTCCACTGGTATTTGAGTTATCAAAGATTATATTTTTATGACAGCCATTTTGAAATTCAATTGCTATCTTTTTTTTATATTTTAATTTATATTATTGTTATTTTGAAAATGTCTTCTTGAGCAGAGCTTCCTTAACTCTAGGCATCAGCCTATAAAGGCTGAACCAAATCTGTCCACTGGTATTTGATTGATCAAACATTTCAAATTTTTATGAAAAATGGCAGCCATTTTGAAATTCAGATGCCATCTCGAAAATCTCTTCTTCAGCAAAGGTCCTTTAGCCCAAGGCAAACAGCATATAAAATTTGAACCAAATCCATCCACTAGTATTTTAGTTATTGAAGAGTATGTTTTTTTTACGAAAAATGGTAGCCATTTTGAAATTTGATAGTCTTCTTGATCAGAGCTCCTTTGTCTCTAGGCATTAGCATATAAAATTTGAACCAAATCTGTCTACTGGTATTTGAGTAATCAAAGACTACATATTTTTACGATTTTTAAATTCAGCGGCCATCTTAAAAATCTCTTCTTGGGCAAAGTTTCTTTGTCCCTAGGCATCAGCATATAGAATTTGAACCAAATCCATCGATCGGCATTTGAGTTATCCTCCAGACACACGAACAGACGGCTTTCCTATATCCCCCTCGAAATTTGTTATTTTTTAAAAAATTGCCTGCATCATAAGATACAATATGACCACTCTTCAAACTAGTTAAAGGTTGGGATATGTTTGGGATACCTTGGGATATACAATATATCTTCCCTTGGTCTCTCGGGAAGACATATTGTATATCCCTTGGGATATTCCCTGTATCCAAAATCTCCCAGTGCATAACCCCTATCTATCTGATGATATCTTAACAAAGGATAGGTATCGATATGGAGAACTGAATTCAACAATGTTTTTCTCTTAAACCAATCATTGAAAACATTGTGTAAAAAAACATGGTATGTTATGTAATGTTGACTGATTGACAACAATTTAATGCGAAAATTATTTTAAAATATTTTATATAACTGTTTTTGTTAACATTTTTTGTTTTTTTAGTGCAATTGTTTTTGCTCCTTTCTACAAATTCTTGAGAATAAAATAAAATGTCTTTCCGAACCTTGTTGGAAAAAAATAGCATATACAACATGTTTTCAGACCTCTCAATATTAAAGTTATAAAAAGGAATTTTTGGTTGATTTTAAAAAAAGTATTCAAAAAATTAAAACAAAATCCCCCCAAAATAGATAAAAATCAAGAAAACCCTTTTATTTCATTAACAAGATACTTTTTTAAAATCAACCAAAATTTCCTTTGTACAATTACAATATTGAGAGACCTAAACATGTTGTGTTTATGTCGTATTGTTCCAGTGAGGTTCGGAAAGATGTTTCATTTCACTCTGGAAACATGATACCAAGAACAAAACAAGTGTTTGGTGTGTTTTACAATATAGATGAAAGTATGTATATCTATTTCAAATTATATTGTTACCATTCAAAAGATGGCAATTGAATTGACAATTTGTAAGATTTTCAGAAATTTTTGATGACTGGTTTAAAGGGGCAATAAGGACTGTAGAGAAAAAAGGAAAGTATTTTCATTTTTTCTGAGCTATCAAGGCAACATTTGGTTTAACATCTTCTTTGACATACCTATTTTCTTAAAATGTATGGATAAATTATCAATTTCAGCATTAAGAAGTGTAAATTCAGTTCAAAGCTTCAAAAAGGGGACTTCCACTTTTTTATTTTTAAGATTCACCATGTTTCAAGAGGAATATCAGCTAAAATAATGTTTATCTAAGGGGTTTCTTTGTAGATAATAAAAAATAGATGTTAGTCTTGATGAAATATCCAAACTTAAATATATTTGACACTGGTCCATGATCGTTGAATGACCCCTCTGCACTAATTCTTGCACCTTTAAGAGAAACGTGTGTTCAAAAAGTTTGCCATATCGATACCCATTCTTCTAATGGTGTTCACATGAGAAAGAACACTGGGCATATAGAAATTAATAGTTAAGTGAACTTATGGTTATTCATGTCTAGTTGTAAATGTTGGATTCAAAGTCTTGCATCAAAGCCCTCCATTCTCTCTTTTACTTTGGCATATCTAGGTTGGAATAGTAGAGGAGATCCATAAACTTTATGCAATATTTAATATTTCAGAGTGTATTTTTTTAATCTAAAAACAGATACAATGTACATGTTTCAACATCATAGGAGACCATTTACAGAATATGTCTAATTTTAAATTGATTATGTTTTGGGAGGAGGTGGGGTGTAAATTCACAAATTTGCTTTATACAAAAAGTGACATTGGAAAAAAAGATTCCATCATTTTCAGATTTTAATCTCATCATTTTTTATTTTTAAACTAATCAGGATTCGTACACCTTTTTCAAAATGAAATTCCCTGACATTTCCAGGCAAAAAAGTAAATTTCCAGGTCTAGTTTTGCTTTCACAGACTCCAAAAAAGTCTCAACAACTGCATTATTTAAAGGAGAAGACCTATTATGAAACTTTCCTTTAGTACCATTTCCCATGACTTAACCTCATTTCTACAGGCCGTCTTATTCCCCAATTTATTCCTGATGCATTATATAGGGGCGTATCCAGCAGATGTCAAGATTTCTGGTTGTTCCTAATAAAAATGCCAGTTATTCTGCAAATCTTTTCATCTTAAATCTAAAAGCCTTGCCTGTTATTTTTGTTCATTTTGCCCATTGCCAGATACTAATAATCAAATAACTTATCATTTGTCTTTTCTTGCATGTATTCAAGTTTCTTCAATCAATAACTTTTTATTGTACCAGCTGGGTCTATCTTGGGTTTATTAAAGAAACCTATTAAGAAGGAAATAAGAAACCTTACATACTGCCTATCAAGGTTTCAGGTAAATGCATTAAAAACTATTGCCCAGGGTATTGCCATTTAAGGTCAGGGTGCATGTTCAGAATTTTGCTGCAACCCTCAATAGGGTAACATGTTATTTTCAGATTTAAATCACTCCTTCCCCACATTGTCTACATCTCTCACTATTGCACAAGTGCACTAA